TCCCTATATTACCCTAGTTTCCATGTCATGTTCCATTCTATTTTCCATTTGATTCTCCATTATAGGCCATTATGGTAACCCTAAACCCTATATACCCATTATGGTAACCTATAATGTAAGTTCCTTAACAGCAACCCAGTTTAGTCTAGGGATCATATGGTAGCGTACTTCAAGATGCGTAGGCTAGTGTGGTGTCAGGTCATTGGATGGGTCACTTTGCTACCCCAGGATTCCGGTTTAGGGTTCCGGGTTTAGGGTTCAGGGTTAGAACCCTAAACCCTAAACCCGGGTTCCGGGTTTAGGGATAATCCACATGTTGGGCTCTAAAGTCTACAAATGGCGGCTTACCCTAGACTTTTTGGGGGAAGCCCTAGGGTTGCACTCGTGGTTTTTTTAGGCGAATGCATGTCTGAGGTAAGCTTCTAAACCCTAAATCCTAAACCCTAAACCCTAAACCCTAAGCCTGAAACCCTAAACCCTAAACCCAAGGGGAAGCAAGGAACTTCAGGGCCCATTCTGGGTTGCTAGTCAGGAGTTTTGAAGTTAGGGTTTAGGTTTTAGGATTTAGGGTTTAGGGTTTAGGATTTAGGTTTCAGGATCTAGGGTTTAGGTTTCAGGATTTAGGGTTTAGGCTTAAGTTCCTTAACTCTGAGGTCCAACGTATGGGCCCTTTAGACTTACAGTCTATGATAAATCCTAGAAAGCCCTACAAGCCCAGTTCAGGGCCCATAGTTAAGATTCCCAGGATTAGCAGCAACGTCGGCTTCAACCCTGATGCTTCCTGACGCTGCTGTTTAGGGTTAAGGGTTTTAATCTTTAAGGTTCGGTTTTGCAAAGTCTTGTATGCTGCTCTGCCATACGGTTGATATTAAACATGGTGCATGACTTTTGTATACCGTATTACCAGAACTACGAAGGTTTGAGGTGTTAAGGGACATACCATATTCTTTAGTATCCACTGTAATGCCTGAAGCCTAAAGCAGGCAATGTGTCTAAAGCTTGGCATCCCGAACCCTGAGCCCTAAAACCCTAAACACCTAAATCCTAAACACCCAAAACCTAAACCCTAAACCCTAAACACCCAAATCCTAAATCCTAAAGATTCCACAGCCGCCGAGGCCTCTACCTTTAACCCTGTCTATGGCCTTAGCAGTTACCAATTACCAGGGTGTGGTGGTTTAGGGTCCGTTTCTGGTTATGAGCTATGGTCTAAACTTCTTAATGGAGTTTAACACATAGGGTTCAAGGTTTAGGGTCTACATTCCATAAAGGCGGATTAGAGTGTTTAGTTGTCCAAACTCCTTCAAAAGGGGTTTTCAGGTCATTATATAGGCGAGTATTGTAGGGTTTTATTAACCGGGATACTAGGATTTTTGACTCTCAACCCTAAACCCTTGACTACAGCCCACATAACGACATGAACAGTTATTGCCAATATTAGGGTTCACTATGCCCCAGGTCCGACGTTCCCTACATGATTATGGGGGGGTTTAGGGTGTGGGGTGTAGGCTTTAGGGTTTCGGGTGTAGGGTTTAGGATTTAGGGTGTAGGGTTTAGTGTGGGGTACTTCAAGTAGACCTCAATAATATGATGGTCGCACTCCAGGCCCCAGCAATACGCATCTTAAGCCTGAGCCCTGCACGACCAAGCTTCAACAGCATCCAGATGCTGTAGGCCCCAACTCTAAACCCAAAAACCCCGGAACCCGAAAACCTTGACAGTTTGTTACCTAACAATTTACCGACGGACTGCCAGGCTATGACTCCTACACTCTAAGCCCAGAGCCGTAAAACCCGGAACGCTAAACCCGAAACCAGACATTCCCTTAACTTTTAAAGACCAAAAACCCCTCAAACTCTACCACCTAGACCCTTTAAACTCTGACCCCGTAAACCCCTTAAACTCTAAACTTTAAACCCTAATTCTAAAACCAAAGCATCCCAAAACAGAAGGCTGGACAGTTGACCCGGTTGGCTTGGGTGCTGCCCTGGAGGCGTTTGGACCTCAGGGCTTTAGGGGTTTAAAGCCCAGCTTAAAAGCTTAGAGTTTAAGGGGTTTGGGGGTTTAAGATCTATATAATTGGGCTAAGGTTATAGAATTTAAGAGGCTTGGGGTTTAAGCCTAGCATGCTTGTGTTAAAGGGTGTAGAGTGTAAGGGGATTGGGGTTTAGCGTTCAGGGGTTTTAGGGGCTTTACGCAGAATCCTCCATAACGCGACCAATACTGAAAAAATGGGTGATATTGTTGTTGAAAAGGTCATGGCACTGTAGAAATCTAAACAGCTGCTAAGATTCCTCGCATAAACATGGTGTACGGTCCCTCAGATAGTCCTCAACCATGCAACTGGTAATTCTTTAGGCCCCTACATCCTATCCCTGCAAACTTCCATATTGTCATGTTACTTTTCATTTGGTTTTCATGTGATTTTGCATTTTCGCAAGCAAAGAGCCCCTAGGGTTGAAATCCGAGTCTCAGCATCATGAGGGCACCGACTACTGCAGCCCCCTCCCCCCCCCCCGGCCATCTAGATGGAAGCCCGGTCTATAGGCCCCCCTTCGTAGGACCAGTCTACTAAAGGTTATCTTTCCTGATTCCATATTAGATTGTAGCAAGGTAGCCAGGGTGCAGTGTTGCTGGGCTTTGACCTCAAAACCTGTTCTTGCGGTACTTGGACCCAGGGAGCTCCGGGAGTGAAAATGCATAGATTCAGGTCTCCGTGATCTGGCGTCCAAAAAGGAAAGGCTAGGACATGCTCAGGGCGTTTTATGGGAGCTAAGCATGGTGGGAGGGGGTTAGAGTTCATAGGGGTTAGTGCTTTTGCTGAAGTGAAGAACTTCGTTCTTCATACCTATTTAATTTCAAGAAACGATTGAGGTCGCGGCATGGGGCCC